GCCCGGCGGCCAGAAAGATCCCGGCCTCTGGTCCCAGCCTCCCCCCGCACTGTGGGGAAGGCAGGGCTCTCAGCCCCCTGCCCTGCCTCAGTTTCCCCGCCTGTTTGCCGGGGCCCTGAGGCTGCACTGTGGGTGCAGTGAGCTGAGCCCCGCTGCAGGGCGGCCCTCAGCGCACCCTCCCGCCCCCGCGCCCCTTGCTGTCTGTCCAGCCCCCCCCCTAGCCGCCAAGCCGGGGCCACCGCCGAGGGCTCTCCGCATCGCACCCCTGCCGCTCCCGGCCCACAGCCCTGAGCACGCAAACCTCCGCAGCTCCACCGGCCACTTACTCCCCCTAGTGGCCGCCGAGCCTCAGCCGGGTGGACCGGGATAGGCCAGGACGGGGGTGGGGGAGCCTTTCTTACTCGGAAGCTGAGGCACTGAGGGGACAGGTGGTCCCCAGGTCACCGGGGAGATCTGGCCTTCCTCCTCGCCCCCGATATAGAGGAGGCTCGGGGTCCTGGAACCACAGTGGGTTGTGGACACACGGGGGTGGCAGGCAGGCAGCCGAGAAGGGCAGCCGGACAGGTCCCTCGTGGACTGGCCGGGTCTGGGCCAGGGACAGCCCCTGTGTCCTGTGTGTGGGACCAGCTGCCTGGCGGTCCCGAAGGCTGGCTGTAAGGCCCCAGAGGCAGGGGCTGCTCCCGGGTACCCAGCGAGCCCTGAGGAAGCTGCCATGGGTACTGGCCCTGCCATGGGCTCTGGGCTCCAGCTGGGGCGGACCCGCCGGCCTCAGGGCCTCTGACGGTCACCTACCTCCCCCTCCGAGAGGTCCTTCCAGCCTCCTCGCCCGGCCTCCCCGGCCCTCGTGCCCATCAGGGGCACCAGGGCCAGGCTCCCCCTGCACGCAGACCTGGCCCGTGGGCAGCCCGAGCGCGGCTGGCCCCCGGAGTCCAGCCTGGAGCAGCCAGCTTGGAGCTGACCGTGAGGGCTGGCACAGACGCCAGCTGGGAGTGCAGGGTGTCCACCAGCCTCGCAGCCCTGGTGTGTCCTCATGGCCAGGCACCTGACCGTCCTCCCTGGCCACCTCGTGCCCAGCGGAGCCGCCAGCCTGACCCGAGTGCTGCACAACCCGGGTGCCTGGCCTCGCCCAGCCGGCGTGCGGTCCCGGTGCCTGCTCCAGCGGCCCTGGCCACGTGCCTGCATCCACGGAGGGCCCAGGGCTCCCGGCACTCCCACTCGGACAGGGCCTGGTGCAAGAGCCCAGGCACGAGGGGCCCCAGGCGGGACGTGGAAGCCGAGGTCGGGCCCTGTGCCTGCAGACTGCCCGGCTCCTGCCCCAGCCGGCCTGCAGCGCCGGCCCGGGCCCCACCCCTGGGCCCGTTTCCCCTGCTGGCCCCGCGGGGTGCCCTGGCCAGTCGTGTCCCTGGAAGGCCCCGCGACCCTGACCCGGAAGCCCCCCTCGGCGCCTGGGGCGGGGGTTGTGCCCCTGCTCCTCTCCTGGGGCCCCTCTCCAGCGGGAGCCGCAACCTGGGATTAGGGGGCCGGGGTCAGGGGTCGACAGCGGCCGCCGGCTCAATTCAGGCCGACAGCGGATCCGTTCTCCCTGCCACCTCGAATTTCCTGGACAAAGGCTGCTGTGGAGGGGCAGGCGCGGGGACACCCCG